TCTTACTTGCATCCAAACTCCAATTAGAAATACCTACGGTGGCAACTTTAGGAGGCTCAAGCAAACTATGAAGTACTTTCAATGGATTATGTACGGATCTCTCAGCTAGACCAATTTCATCGAATATTACCACAGCCTTTCTATTCTCCCCCTTCATCTTTTCTCCAGCTTTTTAAGCTTTCTTATAGATTTTTTCAATAGCTTTTGATGTAGTTTATTCAGAGCCTTAGTAATAGAATGGAACAAAAGCAGGGAATTTCTTGAAAAACGCATTGCTTGATAAGTTACCTCTAAATGATTTCAAAATCAGATTCATAGCAAGAGTTTTTGAACTACCAGGTTTACCAGTTATAATCAGAGGTATATCATTCAGTATACAAGTGATAATGACAAAAATGTTCTCGAGTAAAGTCTATGATCTTCCAATTCCAGCTTTAATCTCCATTTAATCTAAGAATCTGTTTTACTCCTTCAATACAATTTATGTAAAATTCTAAGGGAGCAAGCAAGGTAAGGCTTAGCTTCCAAGATCGTTGCTTATTTTCTCAATAAATTACTTCCTTTTATCTTAATCTGAAATCCTTATGACATAGCAGAAGTAAATAGCTAAAACTAAGGCTATCTCTCTGTTATTGTACTTTTGCAATTATCTTGAGAATCTCTTATTTCCTGGACTCTGAAGTTCATCTTGGTTGCAGTTGTTTTTTGAGAAGTAGATAAAGAGCTTACTAAATCTAGAGACATCTCTAAGACTCACTGCCCAACTCTCCTCTTAATCTTTAATAATGTTCTAAGCTAATAAGACTGTAGCAGAGATCTTTTTTATCTCACCATTGTGCGATTCAAGGATTTTTTATTATACCTGAACTTGCTGCTTATTTCCTGCCCATAAGTGTACTGAATTTATACCTTCTCCGAAGATTGCTGCCTTATCATATGTTTTCTCGATCATCTTGGTAATATATTTAATTTCTTCAGTTTTATTGAGTGATTTATAGTCCCAAATAAAAGGAACCAGACTCTCTGGTAAAGGCAAAACTCGATACACAAGTTTTGACATCGTCTAGTCTCTTTCGCTTACTTTTAAGCCAGATGTCATTCCACTTATTTCCTTCTTTCTCAATTTGAATGGATTGCAAGCAGCCACTAAGCAGATATTCACTTCTAAGGGGATTCCATTTAAGTGGCGATCAATAAATACTTCCTTTAAAAGCCCGTTAATATTTTCATTGGTATTAATTTCATCAAAGAATAAAATGACTTTTCTCTTTTTCAGTATCTTTTGAGAAGAATATCCATCTTGCATACTGCTTGATCTTTCCATTCTAAGCAAAGATTCATACTCTTCATCTTTCAAGCCCTGTGGTCTGATATGTTCTTGGTTGAGAGCAGTATACTGAGCATTTTTTACAAATCTTATAATTTCAATTTCTTGGACTCCTGCATGCAAATTTAAGACTAAAAATTCAGCATCTATAATTTTTGCCAGATATTCAACAAGAGAGGTTTTTCCAACTCCAGTTTCACCCATTAATACTATTGGCATATAAGCTCTAATTCTAAGATAGATAAGTACTAACTTCATAAAGTTATCCAAAGTAAATACTAAGCTCTTAAGTTCCTTAGATTTTCTAAGCTTTTCTTTTCTTGCATCATTTACACAGATTTCAAGAATTTTCTCAACAAATTCATCCTATGTGAATTCATCGTATAACTTGTATTCCTAAGCATCCTTATTAAACTTATTTATCCTCCTATTGTACTCCTTAATGGCTTCTGGAATCACCTGAATATTTTTGTAAATCGGAGTAATTGTGCCACTATCATTGAAGACTATGAAGGGGTTATTAAATACATCCCATTCTAAATCTCTGAATCTATTAGCCTGTTCCTCCTCAGTAACTTTTCTCTCTAAATTCTATTGTATTTCATAGCTATCACTATACTTTTCTACGATCGATATTCTTTATGAGAGCTCAATCAATTGATTAACAATTTCTTTATGAAATTTCTTAGCCTTTTTAGCGATTCCAATTCCTAAGAAGCCTGACATTTATCTCTCTAAATTGTCTTATGTGAAGAAATCGCTGTTTTCAAGTCTAACTAATTAATCACATACAAAGTCCACAAAAGAATTCACAAAGTAGTAGTTTTGATTTTTTAACTTTTTCGAAAAGTTATTCCTCAATACAATATGGCAATCCATATCCTATAGGAAAGTTTTGGGGTCCTTTAATTCCTCCAAACAATATTTAGATGTTTTGGTTTGAAGAGCTAGCAGATATCTACATACTTTCTAGTATTTATCCTCTCTGGTAGGCTTGACCTTAATTCCTGCAAAATCCCATTTGTATTCTATTGACTTTATGTTTCCACTTAGGAAAAATTTGTAGTACTACTCATTTAAACTTTGACTTATTTCAACGAAAATTCTTTCATGTTCAGGTATTTTATATATTTTTTAGAAATGATCATTTACGCAACCTAAGATTAGAATCTCAAATAATATTTCATTTAAGTCTAGTTTAGTGGAAGGATAGACATCATAATGAATGCATATGTTTGGAGAGGATCCTAAAATACTCATATTTCGCTAGTGCAACTGAATTAATTTCTTCCTGCTAAGTTCTCCATATATGGGTATTCTTAAGATTTTACAGTTAAGTTTTTTTGCCTAGCTTTTAATTAGTTCTGTTTTTCCAAGCCCACATGACTAAGTTTTAACTATTTTTATCTTAGAGTACTTCTTGAACATTTCAATCATTATCTCTTCTTTGACAAATTATTAGAAAGGTGGTTAACTTCTTAATATTTCTATGAGCCTCACTGGTTATCTTGGGACGCATACGCATAATATGTAGAGTGTGAAGTTATTAATTTCTTATTAATTTGATTAACCTTAATATTTTTGTAGGAAATCATATATTTCGTATTAAATTATGAATGGCAATTTCTAGAAGTTTACTATAATAAATGGCTTAAGAGATTTCTTAGAGTTTGGAAACATGATTGATCTGTTAATAAATGTCTCCACTTCACTGTACTAAGTATCTTCATTACAAAATAAAAGCCTATCAAATACAGGCAAAATTTTACCAATAGCGAAAATGGACATAACAGCTTTAATCAGTTGTAAATCATCAGAAACTAGTTTATAAAGTGCTTTCCCTGATTGCAAAGAGTAGTTAAAATCCTAATGTTCAAAGGCATTCTCATCTGCATCACTATAAATATTTTTTTCCTCGTTCCATCTTAACTGCATTTATTGCAATCTTGAGGTGCCTTCTGCTAAAGTAATTGGTTTTTTAAATATCTTATATCTGATAAGTTTATCTAGGACTTTATCAAAATCTTTTTGGTTTATTTTTTATTAGTTGGATATCAAAATCAATGATGCTACCAAGTGATTAGGAACATAGTTCAAAAAATAGTAATTATTTCTGTATTGACTTAATTATCTCTTCCACTAATTGAATTCTTTTACTCTATCATTGTAAATTTTTTGCAGATTTTGAACAATTTCATCTTTAGTAATCTTAATACTTATGTATTCCTAGTTATCGTTTTAATAGTCTATGTGTCCATATTGATAGAGTTACTAAAGCACATTATTGATATCTTTGCTTAGATCTACTGCTTTCACGAATATGTTATCATTTTCTTGCACCTTTTATTGCTTAGATGGATTTGATTTCTTAGAGTGAATGTACAGCTTTGCCCTGCTAGAATGTTGAAAAATCTTTTCTTTATCATACTCTAATTTGGTTATCTAAGTATTTTGCTCAGACAAATTCTGGCTATTAGCAAGAGTTGAGAACTCATCGATGCTATGTTTCTCTCTCTCGATGACAATTTCAAGTTTAAAATCAAACTTAGTATTTTTTTTCTCCCAAATAAATGTTCCTTTCTCAAGAGCCTGTTCAATTATTTAAAGAGTATTTTCTGAGGCATTCTTTGATGAAGACGATATCTACTTGATGGCTGAAAGATTTGCATTACAGTTCATAAGTTTCTATTTAAAGTCAGGATCTGTCTTAATCTCTTTTTCCAATTTCTATGAGAGCATCTCTAGCATGCTTTCATAGTCATTTATCTTATTACTGAGCAAAATTTCCAAAACAGATAAGAAAAAGTTGGAAACTGCACCAATATTCTCTATAGTTTTGTTATTTAGAAAAGAGTATTCATCAAGGTGCTCATAAAGTGTGTTGAAGTCGAATCCAACATTTTATACACAAAAATCGAATACCTCTTTATTTCTTCTGTATTCCTCTAAGTGATCCCAGTTAATATCTTAGTCTTTAATTAGTTTCCTAAATACTTCTTCTATATCTCTTATCTTCTTTGCCAAATTACTTAGGTTTTCATCTGGGTAATTTTCTTCAACAACTAAAAGGAAGTTTTGAAGGTTCTGATAAGTCTCACTTTTCTCATAATCAAAGTTTAGAATTTTAGAGGCGTAGGTCTAAAGCTGAATGAAAATATTTGAGTTCTTGTAAATGTTTTTTTGATTCGAATAGGTCTTAATATCATCAACTAACTTTTGATTGAACATTTCTTCATTTGGATAACCTTCATACTAAATAAGATATGATTTGATTATCTCTAGTTCCTTGTCAACCTATTCCATACTAACATTTTTCCAGTATCTTTATAGATTTTGCTAATTGACTACTTCACTTGGATATGAACTGAGGTTTCTAAAATGGTTTTTGCAAAGTTTCTTGAAGAGAATTTCCGATGATAGGAAATCAAATTACTATTTAAAAGATTAAGGTAAAATGGTTAATTATACTTACTTCCATAGACTTATGATATTTTCCAGTTTCAATGTCTTTGGTCTCTTCTAACTAGAGAGCCAGTTTTCCCATTTCTTCAGGCATTTGATGAAACAGGTTCTCAAATACAACGGATTCTCGGAAGATAAAGTATTTGTCAACATTTTTGAAGTCTTAAAAGAATATCCAGTGCTCTTCAGAAGTTGCTTTTCTGGCCTCAAGTTTCTCGCTACTTTAAATTCTCAGCAGATTTTACTTATATAATCTCTTTTAGAACGACAAAGAAGATTTTGAAGCCCAGTTGAGGAAGTTTTAATACTTTTTGACTTGTAGTTAGAATATCTCATTAGTCTTTCCCAACTCCTCTATGATGTTTAGGTCGAATTCTGGCTCATATAGTTAAATAATTTTTTAGAAATTTTTCTTTCTTGTTACAATAGTCTAATTAATTTCCCTCAGTGTTATTGTTCTATCTTTCATTTTTTATATGCATTCCAATACTTCAATTTTTAATTTGTCTAAGAAGTCATTAGAACCATAAGTTTGTGCTATCTTCATTGCATAATAAATGACCTCATCCTCATAGATGTTTCTCTTTTCTTTTTCATAAAGTTTATTCAGCATATTCATTGATATATCTCCAATAGCTCTGAATTCTGGAAAAACTAGTTTGAAATCTGGAAACATTACTTTGAATATAGTTTTGATAATTCTGCTTTCTATCAGCGGAATCATTCTTAGTTCCTCTATTATAACTTCTGTGAATTGCTGGGTCTTAAAAGGATCGTTTTGATATTGAGGTCTTACTTTTAGTAAGGATTCAAGCTACCATTTGATTGGATATGATGTTGAGAATATGACTTGTAAATGCTTTTTGAAGTCACCAAGTTGTCCGTTGATATTAAACTGATCTACTTTATTAAATATTGGTTCCTAAACTAGGTCTATGAATTAACTGAATACCTAGAATTATTCCGGTATATTCTTGCAGTCGTTAGAATTGTTGTAGAAATTAAGAGTCAATATTTTTCTAATATCCTTAAAGGCTAACTTTTTCTTCTTGCTTAAGGTTTCAACAGCCTTAATAATCAAAATTTTGAAGTTTGCCTGAAGAAACTAGTTTTATTGAATGTAAACTATTTATTGCAAGTATTTTACTCCTAAGAGATCAGGGTTATTTATTAGGTATTAAGTGTTTATGGGGTTTTGGTGATGGGTTTTAAGGTTTTGAAATAAAGTATCTTTGATCTCCTTTTTAAAAACAATTTTAAGCTAGTCAACTTCTAGTATCTTTTCGATATAATTTTTGACAAATATAAACACATTATTGCCTCTACTTAACCTAGCCTTTAGTTCTCTTGTTGATGTTAGGATTGTGTCGCCTGTAGTATATCTTCCCATCTCTTCGACATTCTATAGTAGTGCTTCAAATGATTTACTCTCGTTAAATGCATATGCAATCAATAGTTGAATGACATTTTCTTCGTAGAGACTCTTGGTTTTAGCAATTTTGATATTGTCCTTGTATTTGGCAAACTTTACATCTTCTTTTACAAAATTAAGGCTCTTAAGGTAAATTTACTTGTCTATAATGACATGCATACTGTCTAGCATTTCCATACCAAGAAGTGGCTCAAATTGAATTAAAATTTGGAAACCACGTAATATAACTTGATGGTTTGGCTAATCTTTTGTATCTAAAATCATCTATCTCATGTATCCAAATGGAAGATCAAGCATTCTTTGTAGTAGTTATCTATAGTGATCAGTTTTCTATTTGATCTTTTTCTTATCAAGGTAAGAGAATAGCTCTAGAATGTATATATTTAGTCCAATATTATCTGACTTAGAGATATACTCAGCAGTCATGATCTTAAATGTCTGACTGTAAGGGAAACTGTTGTTGCCCTCACAGATAAAGAATTCCAAATATTCTTAGAAAATGGTTGGTCTCCCGAAATGTCTGTCAGTCTTATCAAAATTTGTGATGAAGAACTTTAGTATTATGTCATAGTACTCCTTCTTAGGGTTCATCTAGGGCAAATAATTTTTTTTGCTTTAGTAAATATCGAACAAGGTGCTTAGCCCCATAAATTTCTTAGCCTTTGATCTCTCTTGCTCAGATTCTTCGGTCTCAGCCAAATCTTCTGCCGCCTCAAACTTACTGTATGAATATTTGAGTTCGTTCATGTAAATAAGGTCTCCTTCGGTGAACTTTACTCTGGCATAAAAGATGTTTTCATCTAGTCTATCCATCTTGATAGGCTTCTTTTATGAGTTTACGTTCTTTAGATTTAGTTTGAAGTTTGTCTTAATTAGATCTGACTTATTTGTCACAAGGTAGAAATTTAAGTGCTTTTCGCTTACCTCATCCTCATTAATTATCTAATTTTCCTGGAAATCATCTCCCTAGATAAAGTTTTAATTAGAGAATTAAAAAGATTAGTAATTACGGTTAAATCCTCACGAATAGAAGGCTTTTTCTCACCACTGTGTGAGTAGTCAAATCTATGATCCATTAACTTATTTATTAATTCGAATCTTTTAATAATTATTTATACCTAGCATACGAGTTAATATTTTATTGATTTAGCATATCAATTTATCAATAATAACTATTATTGCATAATTGGCTAATTCTAAGGGTATGGGGTTTTGGGGTTTTGGGG